CAATTTTGTTCCTTGAATTTGATGTTTTGGAATCGGATGACATAACATCGATGAAACTTCAAACTATATAAGAAGACTTCTTTTCAATTGCACTATCATTTTGTCTTTAACTTTTTTGAATTTAAAAATCTGAATGTACAATCTAAACTTTCAAGAGACTCTTGAAAATTTGCTCTGCGGATGATATCGTGATAAAGTAACAAGCACGAGTTGATAATCTTAATCTGCGCAATTGGAGAAGAGTGAATTAAGATAGGTAATGCACTTTTTGGATGAAGCATGTGTGGTTGTTCATCGAAAACATGCATATATGGAGTGATTTGTTGGATAAACCCTGAGCAAGATGGTTATGTTGCTTTGCAATTTTTTTCTTTCCTAAAAGTATCAGCACACATCTATCTTGTTGCATGTGAGGTGTGCGTGCATAGAATAGGCAGTTGAGGCACATTTTTGCCGTGTCCAAGTTTAGCTAGCGATTGCTCAAAGTGAGATGGTTTTTGTGGTTGTGGAATGGGGCGACTTGAGTGTTCTTTCTATTACTGAAATAGATAAATAAATGGAGGAGAAAGAGGAAAAAAAGAGAGATTTTTTTCCCCTAACGCAAAAACTAAGTAGTCCAACAAGTTCTTGTGTTGTGTTATCATTATTTCATGCTGCTCGAGACGGATGATATATGATGAAAGAAGGATGAATTGCAAGTCACGCTCCAAAGAATTATTAGCGTGGATTGATTTGCTTTTCAAAGTTAGAGCAACTGCGAGGTTTTGTTTTGAGTAAATAACTATTTTTTATCATATTTATCCTGAAATGTAGCAATTATTTTTGCCGATATTTGGACTTTTTACATAAAACACGCAAGATATAATCTATAGTGTTGAATGTAGAACAAAAACCAGCTTGAAACCGTGCTCTCTTTTGACAAGATTATGCCTATGTGTTCAACTTTGACTTAACAATTTACCAAATAACTTGGCAAAAATACTACTCATCATGATAATCCGATAGTTTGTCACTAAGGACTTACTCCCAGATTTTTGAATAGGAACAATCCTCCGTACAGATCAAGTTGAAAGAAAACCATGGAGAATTGCATTCTCTAACACTATAGTGAGAATAGGTCCAATAGCATCTACTCCCCACTTAAGAAGTTCAATCGAAAGATCATCTAAATCTTCACATTTACCATTTGCTGAGTTGAGTAATCATTTTAGCTTCAGAAAATAAGCCACATTTCCCTTCAGTGCATGGTAATAATGTAGCATTGGGAAAAAAATTAAGCTTTTCAATAAAAGAAACCAAAGACTTGGAATGAAGAGTAGGTTTAGAAGATCAGACTACCAATCAACTTCAAAAAGATGTGGGATTCTTCAACAGCTCCTTTGTCAAGTACTCTTGCTTCCGTCCCAAAAAAAGCTCGTTTCTTAGAATTCACCAAGTCTTTGTAAAGTCTTGTCATAATAAATTGATTGTGAAGATCCACACATTTATCAATTGATCTTGCCCTTGCTTGAAACCGAAAACCTAGGGATCTTTCTTGCAATGGATGGTTTCACTTGTTTGCTTGCAATCAAAGTCAAACTTTGATACATAAGAACTGAAGATCTTCGGTTCTTATGTCTCTAAAAGAACTTAGAAGCATAGTTTTTGAGCAACTCGGTTAGTTGCAAACTAGATGTATGTGTATCAAGGTTCCAAGTAATAAAAATCAAGAGATCTTGTGAATGTTGACTAGAAAGTTAATTCCTATTAGTATCAAAACAAAACTTGGGAAAATGCATTGGCTGAACATTGATAGTAGTGAAAGTATTTGTAGACTACTATGTGATGGAAGAAAAGTTGAAGATGAAGAGCGTACGTTTGTTACTTATACTAGATATATAGTGATAAGAGTGGCTCATAAAATTGTTGAAAATTTTTATTCTTTATTACATTTTGAATAATGTTATTAGTTTTCGCTAGCTAGTTATGCACTAGCTAGCGGGTTCTTTTGGTTTTCTACTAGTTTGGAGTTGGATTGTTTGTATTGTATTTTTTTAGCCTTTTGATCCTTTGGGTCTCACGAGCTTGGTCTATTTACCATTTACCAATTTCGGACTTTCAGGTGCAACATGTTTCGTGATGCAATGCGTTTAGTTTTTCAAGCGTTTGAACAAATACATCCACCAAAGCAAGACAAGACTTAACTCAGATAGTTTTGTAGATCTCCATGAATACCTCAAATCACACATCACTTCTATTTCGCACAGAGTTGGAACCTGCTTTTGTTTCTGGCTCATCAAAGTAGACCGGAACGCATGAGATAGTAAAAGATATGAACAACATAAATACTGAGCCCAAGGGTAATCAATCATCTTCTCAAGTGATACGCTGTATGAACCAAGAGAGAAAATCTGAATCTCGGCACACATCATCCGCTGGTCGGGTGAGAATTACATGTATTCTGCAACGACAACAAATGAGAACTATCTTTTACTCGTGAAGAGTGTCGGAGTAGCTACACATATCAACATTTTCTATCTGGCCGGTGTCAGCTGAAAGGACGTTTCTTGATTTTTGAGTTGACTGATCAAATACCGATGAAAGATAGATATTCATCGTGTTCGTTAATATATATCTTGACACCAAACAAGCAGAGCTGGGACATCTGCAGAAGACTTGCTAAAGTGCATTTCCGGATGCAAACAGCTTGAGTTTCATCCATCGCAGACGAAACAATATATTCTAGAATTTTCACATCTTGTCAATATGTGGAAACGTGTTTTGAAGGAGGGTGGTGCCACCTCGAGGTTCCCCTCACTACATTCAATCATCCATGGAATCTGCAGCCTAACTACGCGGTCCAGTTGCCTACGATCTATCTTAGATATTTTCTCGCGCAACTGACAGACCAAGTACCGTGAACTGTCTGGCAGGAAGGATCTGGTTACAGAGTATCAGAGTTTTTTTGATAGAGATGAATCATTCAGTGCATACCTAGTTAAAGAGATTATTTGTGTGCTCAATGATTCTTACGCAAGGAAGGTAACGATGGTCGGTGTAGAGTGATAGCCCCCTAAAACATGGAAAGAAGATTGTGGCATTATGCACACACTCGACTGTATGAATACAACGACCGTCCATGGAAAAAGGAGTTGCCAATTGAGACCTCCTTTTTCATTTTCAATGTGTAGGATATGGATCGATCGATCAATCAAGCATGCAACGAAATAAATATGTACAAATCGTGTCTTGGGCCTTTCGTCTGACACGAAAGGCCCAAGACACGCCAAGATGACACCGGCATCTACATTGATACCACTGAGCACAAGTACTTTGTGTCCTTTCAATGATTAGACTATAATTGTAACATGTTTAATAATTCATTGACCCTACACATTAAAACGTAAATGTGTAGGGTAGTCAAATGATATCCTTCGCTACCCAGATGTACAGGAAGCCCAAAGATGGATCATGACTTGATATTTTATTGCTACTTAATGAACTCTTCTGTCATCTGTACGAGTGATCCATTTCCTGTCCGAGAAGTGATGCTTTCATCTGAGCGATAATCATTTGGACCGCATAGAACAGTGTTTCAAAATTCACATGTATTCTATCTCAACATCAGGCGATGTGTCTTACCCTGCACTGATATTGTTTTGAACAAAGTGCGAGGAGATCGGTGGTCTCTTCTCGGATTCAGAAGGCCAGGCAACCTGGCTGTCAGGACAGCGTTTCAGGTAATCTTCTTCTTTGTTGTTGTCATTCACTAGAAAGGACCTCCCAAGCGACTACCATAAATCAATAAACAGATACATTCGAGTGACATTCGATCCCTGTACATTGAAAAGGGAAATCGTTTGCTGAGATTTGTATGTTGTGAAATAGTGTACAATAATCTGGCAGATTCCTGCCATGTTTCCAAAAAACCACCTGAACTGTCCATGCTTGGTTCAGTGGTGAAGCTCTGTTTGGTATACCTGCTGTGATCACACGACCTAACCTGACTGGCTTTAAGTCAGATGATTCGCTGAGATACAGAAAATCTGTCAGATGAGCTTCACATCCCTCGATCTAGGCAAACGTGCAGAGACCAAGAACACTTCCCTTGGCTGTTGGGTATCACTGACATGTTTTGTCCATATCAATTCTGGCGCGCACAATTTGACAAACTTGGTCGTTCAATACTACCGTGGAGTAAGTATTGCCAATTCATAGCCAGCTATGTAAACTATACTCTGGGTTCAAAAACGTGATCTTGTGTATTTCTATTAGTCTGATAACTGTCAGTTGATATGATCGACAAGAGGATGGCTTATTGTGGACGGTAATCTTCTCATAATTGGTCTAAGATGCTTTGTAATCTATACTGTATACTTCCAAATTTTTTGACGGTTTAGGATGCCATTTTTGGATTAGAGAGATTCTGATAGAAGCTATATGCAAGGATTGCTTCACAAAGATGCGCATGTTGAAATCACCGTCCTCATCTCTATTCTTTCAGACCAAGAGTGGCCGACCGGTGTTGACTTATTCTGTTTCACTTACCAGAATGATGTTCATCTTTGTGTCGAGCGCCTACCTTAAACTCAGGAAGGCTGAAGTTGTTGACATGAAGGGCAGACAGACACTAGAGTAGTAGGGTCCACACATTTTGTTCTGGAATTTGTAGGCCCCACACTTTCATCTGAAAGCTTCTCCTCGCGGGCGAAATAAGATGTGAGCGACAAGATCCTCGTGCACGGACAGTAATATCAACTGACTGCTGATGGAGAGATCCCCGCTGAGTTCATACACAGAGGGGTAAAATACCCACTTCAAACTTATACCGAACCTGTCACTCTACTTTCTCAATAGTAGCTTTGTTGAGTGATTTGAAAATGAGCTTTACAATCTGTCACTAGACGAGCATATGGGTGACACATCGGACAGAATGGTGAACTGATGAAGTAGTATTCGACCTCATCTACATCCCTCGGACTCATTTAGGGCAAGTACGTGGAGGGAAGTGAACTCAATGTAATAGAAGGGAGAATCACATAGAACGAAGCAATTTTACAAGTCGTTTTCAAAACTTTGATGCCATTGGTGAAAGATCACAAATGGCCTAAAGCCAAGAACTCCCGCATTGCAGACAAAAGGAAAATATTATAAAAGACACGCAGTGACTCTTGGACGAATCTGATTCATGGTAAATTCAAGTGCAGGGGTAGAAACCAGGCAGGGTCTGTTGATCACGTAATCTACAGCACACAAACCAAACCCATCGGAATCTCCAGCTGGTGGGATGAGTGGGTGGGCTCAACCTTTGCTCTTCGTTTGAAGAGGATTCGCAGCATTCTGGTCTTCCAAAGCTTATCTACCAGCTGATCACCACACGGGAGGAAATACTGCATGCATAAAGGTAAAATCTAAAATCACTAAAAACCTCTACTAAGAACTGTCCGGCGGATTCTGAACTCACTGTCCCTCAATTTGGAGGGTTTTTTTCTTGCGTCTGTGCATGAAGCTCCATACACTGAGGAACATCTTCCCGAGCTTCGTCTTACGAACGTAGTTCCCGAAGAGCTTATTTGCAATCTTCAGAGCCTCCATTCTCTTGCGCTTTATCTTGTGCTCCTGGAAATGGGTGTCGGCGACCATAGGGGCGGCATTGTTTTTCTTGACGGTGATTGTGTACGTATAATCCGCATCACTATTGGTGTACACGTACGTGTCCTTGGTTTTCTTGGAGCTCGACGCTCCAGCTTGCTTTGGATGGAAACAGTCCGGACATAAATAATGTCGGCAATTCGCGTTGTGACACACAAGATGATCGTGGTCTGGGCTCGAATTGGTGGAGTTACACTCGCAACACCACCAGTGCATCTCCGGAAGCGGCTCGTCAGCCATTATGCTCCTCTCGAGTTCGGATCCTCTAGTAACCAGAACTGGAGGATTGCTCACCTGAGAAGATGGACATACAGTTAGTACAATTTTAGTAGAGTCTCAGAACCTCTACACTTCATTCCTCTAATCACCGAACCAACTGGCTCCAGCTAAAGAGTTCCAGCCGAGCCATATGCAGATTGATTGATTGATGCATGTATCTTGAAATCAAAAGATCCACACACTGGCAGTCTTGAATCTTTCTCGGCGTGATCCGACCATCTTTCTCTGACCCTCACATGAGCGTCCCACACCCGAAGATCGATCCAAACCCGATCTGCGTCCACTTTCTGTACTCTGAACTTTCACACTCTTCTGGCCGAACGATTATTCTTTTCACATTCCTTCTCCAGCCAGAACGAGAGAGAGTGCGAGGAACTCACAACAAGAAATGCCTTCTCGATCGATCGGACTCGATCAGACTGGATGTTCACCCTCGATCAAACCCTCCACAGCATGGAGCACAAGATTGAATGAATTGTCATGCAGAATCTGTGGAAGCGGACGGGGACGAGAGGAGAGGAGAGGAGAGGAGAGAAGCGGGACTGAAGACGAGAGAGAAGAGGGGAATGAGGAGCAGGCAGGAGAAGGCAGCAGGACCATGTGACATTTAACAGACCGACTCGGCAACTGCGTTACGCCAGGACCCAGTTTGCATGCGCCCGGGCCAATCAGCGGAGGCGCAGTCGGTCTACGTGTAAAGCAGAAGACGGAAAGTGGGTTATTCGCCTGAACCCGGATTTGCATGGGTCACAACTGATAATTAACCTCCGTACGTGGAAAGCATCCCACTGACGGCGTACCGCATATGGAGCCCATGAGTTCCGGAAAGCCTGCACCATTTTCGGTGACCCGACCCGTTCCTGTCTTTCTCCCTTTCCTGCCGGAACCAACCCCATCTCCACTACGGTCCGTTATAGATCACCATGGTACAACCTCTACATCCACTCACAGACCGGATCGCTCTCGTCGATCGACGTCGTTTACTGCAGTAGAGGCCAGTAACAGACTTCACAGCGTCCGACGGGCTGTATATCTCACAGCATTTACGTCACGGACGCGAGACGTAGATTTTACAACGGACGGATCTGTGCGGGTGATGAAATGAATCCGAATTTTTTCCGGAGAACTTGAGAGGATGAAGCCCCAGAAAGAAGAACTGTACTAAGGACCGTGTATTGTGTTTGATGCCTCTGAAATATGGAGTGATGGGGTACCACTTACATGACTCGGCGAATGTGGTCTTGCTCGTGAATCTGGAAGACAATTGAGTGTGATCTGACTTCTTTCTGTCTGTCCAGTCCCCGCAGAATCCATTCGTGTCTCCTTCTTCTTCTTCTTCATTGGAAGCTGACCAGATTCCTAGACCTCAGACTTACAAGACAGACAGACAGGCAGGCAGGCAGACCCTTGTAAGGTTGTGGTACAAGAGATTGTTGGGTTCTGAACCGGAGGAACTCGTACAAGTTCCGGGACCTCGGCAAAAACAACGGACTCAGGATGAGATTTCGAACACGGATGTGCTTCTTTCTTGAAAATTAGTCAAAGATTCTTGTTTAAAGCAAGAAAAATGCCCGAGTCTGACAGCCGGAATTCTAAGTGGAAATTTTGTGTACGCATTTACCCATAGTTATCTTCCCAATTCATTTAAATTCATGTTATGCATGGGCTTCAAGCCAAAAAAGAATAAGTAAAACAGCACAAAGCACGTGAATGCTTCATAAGTCCAAACATGGAACATGGTGGTGCTATCCCCGAAATGGGTCATCCTATATATATATAGATATATATCACGTGATTCTCTACAGCTAAAATTTTGACTCTGAGTTAGGATAGTGAGCAATGACTCAGCCAGCATTGAGCTCCTCCAACTTCAAAAGTGGAGCGCGGGGCCAAATAATGAGGCAAAGAGATGGTAAGACTTGAGAAGACTAAGTTGGTCCAAGCATTCGAGCGCAACGTGTCTCGATGTCACTTGGGGTGCTGAGAAGAAGGGAAGACGCCTGCACTTCGATTTGTGTACGTGGTTCAGGGGGATGCAATTTGTTCGTTCGTTCGTTCGTAATTGGCGCCGGGTCCCCCACGAAACGAGACGAGACAGAAGAAGAAATCAAAAGAGCACCTGCGTGGCGACACAGAGCTATAATATCTTCGTCTACTCCATCGCATCCATCGTTCCTCTGCGTTTTCTTTTGTGCAGCTTTCCCCTTCTAGACCACGGAGCATGAGTATCTGCCTGCCTGCCCTGCCCTGCCCTGCGTCCTTCCCTCGTACCAGTGCCCTTGTATGAATGAACCTTTCACGCTTTTCCTTTTCCTTTTCTTGCCCAACTGTGGCTCCTAGAACCCTACACGCCGACGCAATTAATCAGTTCAATTGCACGTACATCGTACGCTCCCGTGCCATTTATGTACGTGTGCGCGAAACAGACTCAACGATCAGCCTCTTTTGGAGACAGCAAATAATAGAGTACTTCTCACAGTGAACTTAATTTTGTTGTAGAATCCCATCAGTCACACTCTCTTGACAAGGACGACCATTCTCTCATTCATGTAGTCGCACGATTAGCTCGTCTTGTTTCACAATCCTGGAGGCAATCGGGGGAAGGGGTGATCGCTGGACCTTTCACGCCATGCTGTTGTGATAAGGGGGTTTCGGAAACAAACTGTATGGCAATCAAGACAACCATGAAACCTTATGAGTGTGAAAGATTTTGAATGTGATGGTCTTCGCCCACGTACACTTCATGCTGCTTTGCTATCATATTTGCTATATTATCTGGCGTCTTTTCCTTCACTAAATTCGGTGGAAGTGACGTCTTCTGGCAACTTGGCAGGGAGCAAATCGACAAGTCAACTTTAGCAAAGGCCTCGGTGGAAAGCTGCTGATGGATGTTCCCAGTCCTCCGAGTTAGGAATCCGGAAGGGTTGGTTTAGACGATGTCCATCTCTTTTCCATTCTTGTCCTGGATTGCCCCCATGAGATGGTTGACATTGCGCCACTTGAAGCAGGGAACTGCACAGTGTTCGTAAGTAGGTACAGTATTGCCAGTGCTAACCTCCTGGTTCATGTAACTGTAGTGGCAGCTTGACTTTGGGCTTTTGAGCTTTTGAGTTTGACTCGATAACTTCTTCTCAGCCCCGTGGAGGTTGTTTCTATATCAATATTCTTTTTTTATACGGACATTTTTTGAACTACTTTAGTTAAAGGTATAATTACGATGGGTATCATTCTGATATATTGTACTCAATACTGAAACATGCAGAGTATACGTATATATATATATATATCTCATCATGAGATATATTTTTTCATATCAAATATAGTTATATCAATACAACGTGGCAATATATTGTTATGAATGTATAAAAATAGATATTTTTACATTCTCAAAACGTGAACAATGACGTCTCATTAATAACCATAGTATACTAGCCAATTTAAAGTCTAACGAACCACAATCCATTTTGAGGTTAAATGATTCAAGAGTCTACAATTTCCATGGATGAGCATTATTTTAAACTCTACTCTCCGCCTAACTAATTTTGCTCCTGACTAAGGTTTTCACATACATTATAAAGTGTAAAAGAAACTCATCAACCTCCAAAAGAGAATGAAAGATTGCGCAAAGTTGCGAGAAATCATCAATCTTGAGGTAGAGGATATGCTATATTGTTTTGAGTTCTAGGTACATCATTTTTGGAATCGTTGTGGGAAGTAGGGTAGAGCATAACCAGGACAAAAGAAAGAACCAAACATGAGCAAAGCACAATATATGAAAGTTTCTTTAGGTGAGCTTTCTGGCCTGGCAAACAAGAAACTTAGAGATGAAGGAAGATGCACATCTGGTCCAGGAAACCATTTTGGAGGCATTTAACAATGGCGAGCAGGTAATAAAACATCGAAGACATGAGAGCACGTTCTTCGCATTAATATCCTCAACAGTTCACGTAACGTCATATCTGGAGAATGTTGTGACTCTGATCCTCGCAACGAATGGAAATGGAAATAGGCTCCAGGAGTGCAGAATTTATAACGACGTGTAGATCAGGGAAGGAAGGAGTAAGAGACAGTGGGAGAAACAGACACTGCAGCTTTAATAAAAAGAGGTCAAGATGAAAAGCTTTATGGGTGCTCGTGCAGTGCAAGTTCCGAGATCAACCACCTCCACCACAATGCGCTTCTAAGTGGCTCGAAATCATACGCTGGCTTCCAGATTTTACTTTCCACCGTGACGAGGTTACTCGTTCGGTTGAGACGTGATTTGACCCTGTGTGACCACATTCATTCATTTTCTTGCTCCTCACTCTCCCACTGCACTTCATCATGAGCTCTCATTCTCCATCTCAGCGCCTAATGCGAATGAAGTGGAGGAGATTTAAGACTGACCCGCCTTTTCGTCCACGTACATGATTCGTAATGTGAAAGTCCTTCACAATATACCAACCACTAAAGTTTGCTACCGAGCATTCACTAAGAGAGTGTGCCTTTCCTCGCAGGTTCTACATACGTAATTAATCAACCCATTGACATGGCTTCCGGACAGGCGTCAATCTACATACGCAAACTCACTGCAGAGTCTTATCACACAATTGAGCATCGATGATGCAAAGCATGATATCACGAGTTGAAGGAGGCATGAAATCGTTCCAGAATGAGTCCGAGATCGAAGCAAGCAAGGAAGGAGATTTTTCTGTCATTGACAATGGTTTTCAGTCAGAAGAATCAGTGTTTGTCCCATTCGTAGGTATATGATGACTCTGCCAGGCAGAAGTAAAAAATCGCTGCAAACTTCCTCAGAAACGGTGAGGGATGTACTCGATAGTCCACCATGTTCAGCCCAGGCCGGCATTCAAAAGAGCGTAGAGTATAGAGTGCACCATAAGGACTACCAGCAGCCTGATATCGAAATGATTGGACGGTATCCTCGAAATTGTTCTGCGCACATCTGCTCATGTGCCCGATCTGACAGTTATGTACACACAGATGCGTTCGTATCAACAACGGATAAAATGCTCATGTAAAACAAACAATGCCGAGACAGGTATCCGTCACCTGAAACATAAGCTTGCAGCTTCTGGAATCATTCATTCATTCATTCATATCGGTCTGACGGAAAAAGCTCGTACAACCGAGAGGATGAGATGATTCAGTTCCACTTATTTCTTTCCACTCGTGCTGATGCAGAGTCGATTGAATCAGTCGAGATCGGTCCTACATAATGCCTTTCACGGTGATCATCTTGTACTGTTTGAGTGAACCACGTGCGAATAACACAAGGGGGTTAATGGATGTCACGGCGGTGAAGCTGACCAGTAACTTGCAGCTTCTGCGGTAGAAAGCTCGGAGGATCCACTGCCGTGTAACTCGGACCTAAATCTTTCTGGATCCCAATCACAGTGGTCCATTTTGCGGGCTGGGCAGATTAAGGATGTAATTGAGTTGTCAGACTCTTTACTTTACGTGGCTGTATACCTGACCATGGCCAGCAGAAAAGTTGAGCACTGCACATCCACTTGTTGTACCTTTTGTGGGAACTCTGTAAACGACCTTATGTGGGGATAATGAAAGGATTTATAAAGCTTGGTACAAAATCTCTGTCTGCTTTGGTGAGCCTTCAATTCTGTATGTTTTTGCCGATTTGCCAATTAGATTTTCATGCTCTTGTATACCAAACACGTGTCGAAACTTTCAACAATATACACGAACACCACGTAATGCCATTTGGCTTTATTTACGTGCTCGTATATGGTTAGATTATTGCGGTGTGTGTGTAGCGCACTTTTCAGGACCAGAGCACTTATTGTGCTTTCCCATGGCCTTTATTGTTCAGGAAGATCGAGTAGTAAATTCGACCGCATGGGCAACACCACCACGCTGGACGTAGATACTGAGACGGATTTGCATAAATAAATTGCAAGATCTAACGCCAAAGTGGTCATGAGTTTGTTGTGTCCCACGAGACGTACATTGCATGTGTTGAAAGTGAGAGAGAAAACACAACTGAAGTGAGAGTAGATAGGCTGTGATTGATCCACAACTAAGGCTTATGGATTGACACTCTGAAAGATGGAATCGTACCTAAATCCGTTAGAGCAACTATCAGATCCCACCCCTCACGTCCTACATCCAATTTTGGACCACATATTCTCATCATTTCCCGTCACCTTCGTCTTAGTGACCCCATCCTCTAACCAACCTAGAGACAATTCAAAACTGCAGAATATGGTCGTTTGTTTTTCTAATCTTAACACTCCTTAGATGCAAAGTGGGAGCACCGATTCAGCATTCTCTCTTATCGGTGGAGTACCTTCCCGGGATACTTTTCTGTGGAGATTCCTACATATCATTGTTCATTGTGGACGCCCTTTGCGTTAGCCTGACTTACTTTAGACCGATCCGTAACTGAAAACGTGACAGTGCATGGTGTGTAAGCACAACAACTCCGGCTCTCGTCTGGAAGATGTTGAGGAGCATCCGTTTTGACTGTGACATTTCAGTAAGCATTGCCTCATCTGAAGAGCGTGCATGGTACTGCCATTTTGCGGATGAGCTTTACCGGGAGCAGAGAAAAAGGCTGCAGTTTCAACTTCTCGTATAATGGTGCTTGCACTGTCTCGTCTCTACAGGAACGTAGCACCTTTTTATCGAGCTCAAGTTTGTGATGAGTGGAATCTGCAGCTGGAATCCTGTGAAGTACTTTCTTCAAGTATTTTGTCCCCGAGTGGCGGCATGGAACTTCTTAGCAAGAACGTCACCGAACATATTCCTTTGAGTTTGGAAGCATTGGAATGTGGCAAGCTGGCTGCTTTCATTGGGTAGCTCATCGCGCCCGTGAATTTTTCTGTACTGTTGAGTCATTGGGTAGCGATTTCTTTAATAATACTATGCTTAGGTGACGAGAGACGTAGACAAATTTAGCTCTTTACTACAGTGAAAAAGAACTGGGTTCTTTCTTCCTGTTCTACATGAGATTCACTACCTCACGTGGCCTTAACGACCCAGAAAGTGAGGATGGACACAAATCTTCACAACTCGAACACAACTTATCCTGATACCGATACATAGTATTCAAATGCCAGTATCTGCGAAAGTGCGCACCACATTTGAGCCCAAGTTTATGTTCAAAGTGTGTCCTACAACAAGGGTTTCAATCAAACGAAATCTACAGTAACATGAAGTAAACATGGTCAGCTGGTTGACCACATTCCAACTGACACAAAGATTGAGGTCTGTATTCAAAATTTTGACAATGACGAGATGCGCACCTCGATGTACAATAAGCCCATGTAAAGATCAAAAGGAGCAACAAACATTATACTCGATAACGTAATTTACTGACATCCGATTTCGGACTTGCTCGATTTGTTGTCAGAACAAAGCAGTTATGGACAGACTAGAAGAAACAAATCAGATTTCGACCATACGTCCTACAAACCTCTACATCCGCTTGTAGTGCAGGGTGGGGTCGCTTACAGACCACTAGATTTTTTACTACACGATAGCCTACCCACCTAGTGTCTGCAGGCTAAGGCCGTGCTTTAGCACGGCCTTAGCCTTTTGGAGGCTTTTAATAATCACTTCAGTGAGAAAAGTTCCAGGTTATCCGATCCATTTGTTACATACATGGAAAACACCACATAAACCTTGAACTCTGCAACTTCATTACAGGTGACTGGTGTCCGAGGTGAAATGATGACCTTAGTCTAGGTTAGTTCAATATTGATGACGTCCGAATCAGAGAAGTAGAAGACTTTGAACTAACATAATTTCAGCCATCAGATGTGTACAATCAAATGAGTTACAACTTATAGTGTGCTTGAGATATCCCACCAACAATATTGCTATGGTAAGTTTAGCTCGTCGAAGTACGTCACTTCACCTCACCATTCTTCAATAGGTGTAAATGTACAGCGGTTTGAGGTTGTGGAATACAACACACAGTTAATGCCACTTCAGATCTGTAAATCTGAACACTCGAGTCAAGTACGTGTCTACAAAAGTAAAAGACCGTATCGGGCTTGTCCTTCTCTTGATATAAGAGGTGAACCTTCGTACCTGAGACCTAATCCACCTATGTAACGTCCAAAACTAGTCCAGAATCGTGTAAGGATGACTAAATGGACACCTCCAGGTTGAACCCTCTAGATCATATGTGAGGGCATGACTGCCCAACTCCTTCCTTCAATTTTACCGAACGAAGCTAATTAACAGACGTCAAGAGTTTCTGTAGTGGAGAAATATCAAGAGCTTTGAAGTCTTGCACCGCCGCTAGAACAGCATTTCCAAGTTTGGCAGCCGCTTCTTTTGATGGAGCCTGCACCCATCGCAATTTTAAGCACGTCTAATCAGATTCTGACAGATCGTTTCCGGAAACACGTAGTATATCACTAGAGAAACCAAGGCTGGACTTACTTTGAAAGAATCAGGAGACAGAAGGTTGGAAAAAGAAAGCCTCACATCTTTGACGGAACGTATTTCGGTGCATTCAAGAGGGAATGTCGAAAGCAGTTCTAAGTCGATTAGATGATACTGACAAATATGAAATCCTAATACTAATGACTGGTGTCGGTGGATGAAGAGATAGATACTCATGACGGTTAAACCAAGGATAAGTAAATCTTTGACTGAGTAGATAGATAGACCGATTACCTCAATGTTCAGAGGAAGAACTGGATCATGGAGAGAAAGGCGTAATAAGAACCACCCTCCAAATCCAGATACTCGAACCTGTGATAAGATCGATCAAATCGTAGTTAAGCCGGTGAAGATAGAGTAGACTTGCTGTGACATGAAGTCCGAGAGTAGATCTTCGAAGACTTGCTAAACGTCAGAACTTACTTAAAAAATAGATGAAGAGATCAACCTGGTAAGCAAGACAATTTGAAAAGATTTGGAAGGAAGAAATCTCTATAGTTTATTGTTTACAGATGTCTTCCTTCAAGCATTAGATCCTCTTTCAAAACTGCATCTAAGGAAGAGTGCAAAAGGTGAAGAACATAGAATGCTTACACCCTCGTGATTGACAGGTGCTTTTTGCAAGGTTGAGTCTAATTCGACCATGCTTTCCAGCTTCTTCATAACTTGTTCTCCGTACTCCCTAAACGTACTGTAGTCCAGAAGCAGTCAGAGCAATATTAGTAGTTGCTCCCAAATATCCGAAGCTCTGCAATTCATGAAAGCGGAACAAAACGACCAAATTGGGGATGGACGAACCGCCTTGATACGTTGCAACGTAAACACCAAATTACCCGCTGCCAAGATCTGGGTGCTCTTGATTGATTTTGAATCTCAGCTCAGATGCAAAGTCGGCTTCTTTGAGCTCCCCTATCAAGTTGGACAATACTTCACTTCCGCTTCCTTCCCCGGAAACTTTTGCTGCTGCCAACTTTATCAGCAACTTCACCTATTTCCGATCAAGAATGCAAATGGGCCCTCTTAGAAGAGCACGCATGAAACAAGTTTCAATACAAAAGTTCTAAAGCTGGTAACTACAGTTTCTTGAACAATGACCATTTCAACTTTACCATGGTATATGCTCCATCGTCGAGCCAGTGGTTCTCTTTCAGGGCACCATGACCGCTTGTTTCAATCGCCAGATGACATTCTTCTCCTATTTGATTCTGCAGTTCTACATTTTATTAGCCAATATGTTACCATGCGATGACAAAGAGCAACTAACCTGAGTTGAAACCATCTGGACAACACTGTCCCGCCTGTATCATTTGCATAAATCATCAACACTAGCTCTACGTACACCTGAGCGAATCAACGAATGTTCTCTTTGCTAAAGACCTTATTGACCTTAACCCCAGCATTTTTCAAAAGCCTGCACAAGAATGATATACAGAGATATAGGCTGTAATTTGCAAACTGACCAGCCGAATCCCTTCGTCAATGACATTTTTGTAACCCCTCTTGAAACGATGATGCTTTCCGCCTGATTCAACAAACGCTTTCTGGGTTAGAAAGGAAAATTCCACATACAAATCACAAGACTTAACTCGATGTCTCGAGATTACCCAGACTGCATCTATCATCCTGAATTTCATTCATGATTACTTGTACATGAAACCTCTATACTGAAAGTTGCTGCGCCAAGAAAATTCTCACCTAGCTTTTTCTCAATGAAAGTGGTGAGACCATCGGAGGTGACGCTATCAGTGACGATGGTGGTTCCCGGGTGCTGCACGGTGCAATGAGAGAAGTGAATGGCAGAGGCAGGACTGGCGATGTGATACAGAGTCTCATATACGGGAAAGAATTTGAATGCGTCTTACTTGCATACCTCTTCTAAAACAATAGCAGCCATCAGGGCAATGAGACGATTGCGATTCAGCTCACGGCCACTTGAATCCACAGCTGCTGATCTGTCGTGGTCATGCAATTGCTTTAGAAATTGAACAAACACAGCTTTACCCTACAACTTAATGCTGAAAGGCTCCGCGGACTAGTACCCGGTAATTTAAACGTGCGTCCCATAATAGGGCGAACCACCTTGAAAACAACCTTAAGATGAATTCAATACTGTTCATAAACAACCTCGACATTCACGGAGAGAAAACAAGGAAGGCTTGAGTACCTGTCCACATCGGTGTCAAAAATGATTCCTAAATCAGCCTTTTGCTCCAGTACCGCCTTTTTTATTGCCTCCATGGCTTTCTTATCCTCGGGATTTGGAATGTGGTTAGGGAACATGCCTGATTGGAAAATCCATTTCGTGAGACATCCCAAAGCAGAATCTCAAACAATAAGAAGCACAAAACCATACTTGTAGCTGTCACCTAATTACAAGTTTGAATATAACGGGAAGATCGTTACGCGTTTTGTCCAATGCATCCACCTAGCAAAACATTCGTCAACCTTTGCTTCACGAGCATCCAACAGATCTTGAAAGTTCTGTAGTGAATGCACTACTTTGCAATCGCATTCGAACTTCTTTTTTATCCTCAACACATCCTTTTTCCGTGGAAAAAGTACGTACCGTCCGGGTCAAGAAACTGACTCCCAGTAGTCACCGCACCAAGAGGTTCTAAAACTTTGCCCTGCACATGCAAATTGTGTAAGGTTTATGAATATAACATTGTTCTTATTGTATCATGATCATGCAGATATCGGGCGCCATGAGTTTGGAAAAAGCCACCCAAAGCTTTTGTCTAGCTTTTAAATTAACACTTAATTTCGAAACTGACATAGGTAGAACCTAATAAATGAAACCCAAAAACAACCGAAAAATATAGCATGTTTCATTGTACCGGCTCGTTACTTAATTGACTGAAGGATTATGGCCTTCCCTCGTAACTTTCAATTTAACTTAAAATAGATCATCTATCCTCACGAGACAAGAATGAAAGAAATAGCCGAGATGTTTGAGTAAGATGGTAAGAAGCCATACTGCAAAGAACCCTCCTGCTCCATTTCCTGCATCCACCACAATATGGAATCCCTCCAAAGGTTTCTCTGCGCAGAGAAAACGATATTAGGCCATATTACAGCGAATATTTTGACTTTGTGCATAAATGGATTCGGCCTGAGCTTACAAGATAGCATCTCTCACGGCTAGAATAAGAGCTGCATATAGATGAACGGAGGCTTTAAAACTTTTAAGCTGAATACCCACCAACGCCACCGGCTCCTTTTCGAACAGCTTCTACAAGATCCTGTGTGTATCGTTCCATGTAATCTACTTCACTTACGACAGCTTCTGCGGCAGACTGAGACACCTCCCGGCTTTTGTCTGACATCTTGTCGTAAATTTTTGAAGCACGACTTAGAATGTCTGAAATATCAGCCTTTCCAAGTCCACCAGCATTGGTAAAAAATTTCAGCCCATTCCGATTATACGGTAGATGACTAGCTGTGTGCAGGATACACAACGTCAGAAAGACATACACCATCAGATAATCATAACCTTCACTACCACAAAAGAATCAAAAATTAGAAAGTGATCGTTGGTACAAACCCTGGTTTAGACGGACTGTAATTGCGACAATACAAGGTCTAAAACTGTTTAGAATACGCCTATCGAATTATTTATCCAAGGAAGATGCGAATCATACCCGTGAGCATGATGGCTCCATCGACAGGGCACAGCAAATCATCTTGCACTGTCATTGTGCTGTTGAACATAGCTGGTGTTGATGCCAACCTGTGGACACTTTCATTCAATTAAGAATTATTGAACAAGATCTTCCTTCGAAGTCATCATCATATTCTTATAACAACTTGGATGGAGGCTAGAGAGTCTTAAGATCTATCACATTTAGGTGATTTGAAGAAACCCAGACTAACCTATAAAAACGAAAAGAGAAAGCAAAATTCTTACGAACCCGTAAAGGACAACATCCAATCCTGCCCCAGCAATGCCTCGGGCTGCAGCTGACTGTTGAAGAGGATGAGTGCCTCGATTAGTTTACATGTCGTATACAGATTCTAAAATATGATTTTCAAAAGAAAGCCTTTCATCATGCAATCATTAATTTTCCATTCTACAACATTGTTTATGAAGTATATAAAGATAAGGTTTCACCTGCATAGATTTCGCCGTAATCCTTGAATCATGGCCTATCGAAATCTTCAGCTTGACGAAGCCGTCGATATTCTTCTTATCTAGCAGCCAACCCGCGAACCCAGCGGCAATTGCCTCGGTTATGGGCTCTGTTAAAGTCACTGGTTCCCCTTCCACTCCTTCCAATGCCACTCCTCGAATGTCACTACAAAAACAATCTCGCCATTACATCACCTCAATCTCTGGACTTCCATTAAGCATATATGGCATACACAGGCCGTTATATACATAAGAGCTATTCATTGGGCTGGTATACAACATACATCATGGAGGGCATTTTTGTACAGAGCATTTGTTAGCATTTGTTACTCCAGCCATTTACTTCACGAATTCGGAGTCACAAGATCGTATTGCGCTAAGTCAAGCTCACCTGCCATTTTGTAGCTTTTTGAAGTCCACCTTTTGAGCCAATGCAGAATCACTACCTGCTGATACAGCAGCTGTCCATTTGAAAACAAAGATGCCCAAAAGTGTGAGCATTCTGGCTACGATGCAGTAGAAACAAACGCACACTGAAGTATATCTCCTTATTTGATATTTTGATTCCAGGAGGAACAGCTTCGTTTGCAGTATGAAGAACAAGAAAGTACTCTGCATTTACAATCCAAAAAGGTGGCTCAAAGAAGCGCAACGGACGAGGCCATCTTAAAGCACAAGCTGATAAAAAGTTGGGAATGGAAATCATTAGTGATGCTCACCATTACAAGTTGTCATGGTACGTCCTTCTTGGGATCCCTTCCCAAATCTAACTTTGGATCGAACTGTCGAAGACTGTTTACAAACCAACTGCGATGATCCTCGGAAGAATGCGGCGCGTGAAACCTCCTTAAAACTTGGTTGACAAGCGTTTGACTCCAATCTGACCGAGGAAAACGATAATAGATGCGGGCAAAGCTGTCCTACACCTGCTGGGGAACAAAATAGCAGCGAACTGCCAGTCAGACACGGCTGTAACTGTGCGAAGGAACTCGGAACTCATTAGCTCGGAGCTTCCAACACTATGCTAAGATTGGATCCTGCGTAAGGGCCCAAGCTCGTTGCCTGAGGTTTACAAAAATTCCGCAGGAGACACTAGACACGATATCAAAGGGAAACATGAACTGCAACATTATAGAGAATTAGAATATTGAGGAAATTCACGAATGAGACAACACGCTGATGCCTAAGAAGTCTCGTCGAAAAGATCCCACACTGAAAAAGATTGACAGGTCGGACGACAGGTACTTCTTTTCCTTTTCCACACATCTCATCCTCGTTCACGGCCAATATCAAGTGCTCAAATCGCTTTACATTTTCCCAAAATTCTTCGGTGCAGGTGCACAATTAGGCTTTTAAAGATTGATGCTTTATCACAGACCTACAGAGTTACGTTTGACCAATTCAAGAAATGACCACATTAAACTTGGTGGGAAAAACTGAGCAATCTACACACTTTCCCATTCTGGCATTGCTCGATAAAAGATCGAGATCAAATTACAGACGGTAATGATCTGCGAAGAGCGAAATCAGAAGCTGGCCGCAATTCGATGCTCCATGCAGGAATCTTAAACCCTCAATCAAAAAGTACCCAGAAGGACCGAATTGGAGCTGTGCGCAAGGACGATTCTCGAGAGGTATGAAAGCCAGTGGCCAATCGACCTGAATCGCTTCATAAAACACGAGTCTCAGCCAAGCTGTGAACGATTGACACACGAGGCGCAAGAGCGAAATGTACCCGCCATGGTCGAAGCTCACACATCGGCTGCAGAAGACTGGCGGGGAGAGATGGGGCGGGCTCGGAAGACACGAATCGATCGAAAAATGGCGAGAGCTTCACAAAAGCTGGCCCGGATCAGAGGCCAGCGAACGAGAGATGTGTGTGATGCGGACAAAGGGGCGCGTGACTTGGCACCCGAGTTCCTCCGCTCCCAGCCATGCTGCCAAGCGGGCCGGCCCCACCACTCGCCCCGCCTTGACCCGCGCACCCGCGCACCCGCGCACCGGCGCCACAGGTTCGAAGTTCGGCCCGACAGGCCATGCACATCCCGCCGACCTTCCGAGTTCACTTCCCACGACGAGCTTTCGGTCCGTTTCTGCGATTGACTCGGTTCCTTTGTTGGCAACGACGATTCGTGGCTTGCTGAATCGAAGGTGGCGAAGGTTTTTGGGGTCCAATTTCTATTCACTGATTAAAGCCTGATATCCATCCGAATTGAAGGCACTTCGCACCCACTTCTCACACTTTGTTCCCTTTCGACGAGCTCCCGTCCCGCCCATAGCTGTGAAGGAGAACATAAGCGGCTGGTTCTTGAGTGATTCTGAGAGTCTGAGTCATTCTGAGAGCGATTGGGCCTCTGGAGTGCATTGCAGGCTAACTACAACAGTTCGTGGCACTACGACGGAATGCATTCTTAGAAAAAGAACGACTCGACTCGTGATCTTTTTTCCCCACTTCCGCTCGCACTTTCGCACCTACTTTGTCTCACATTATGGTGCAAACAAACGACCATTCGACTTGAGATCGAATTGTAAAGGTCGACTGGCCCATGATGGAGAATCTGAAGACTGGTTTGCATACTCGACTTGCTCCTGATGGGAAGCCCGGAGGAAAACGTTCGTACCTCGACGACCAGGTATTGGTGTGAACAATTACAAGAGAAAGTAGAAAAGAGTTCGGGGAGAATACAAAGAACTCGCTAGAAAAGCTCGTATGTGTGAACTTGTTGTCATTCCCAAATCGGCAACACTTTTCACTAAGATGATGACGACTGTTAGGCACATTGTGTACGCCTGAAAGCCTGGAATGGCCGGCTGAAACAGCCCTAACTCTCACTATCGTATTAACATCCAGAGAAAGAGGACGACTACACATTCTGCGCTCAAAGAATACAGTAGGCGCTTGATAAATATATCATTGGAACTAAGGTACATCTACACCTATACCTCGCATATACAAAATGTCACAGCTACATCTCTCCTGGCTGGAAACCAGATCCTCGTTCAAAGACCTGGCATGATGCCAGACAAATTCCTGTCTACTTGTGTTAAGCTCACTAAGGACCATCTAGGCCCAGTAAATTGCCGAATACTGCAGGCTCGTGAATTCGGCAAAATCCAGTTTATCATGGACTGATAATGAATTTCTACAAGAAGGTAGCCTTGGTCCAAAATTGTGGAGCGTTGTGACTTATTCCTCCGGTTGCTTCTCCTTCACAGCAACAGTCACCGTGCCCGCTGCAGGCGAATCCGCAAAATACTCCTGCTTCTTCACGTTCACTCCGTACTGCAAAGCAGCCAGCCCCAGACAAGTCAGCAATCGAACCCACACAATAAGTCACCTGGATCGTAGAAATCTACACAACACAATCGCCCTTCTGCGTAGGAGCGCAACAGGTCCGTATGGACCAACAACGAGCCCGTACACACAAGATCTGGATCTTCTATTTATTGACTCGCAGTCTCCACTCCCGATGAAAAAATCATTCCACCAAGTGCACACAAAACCGAAACCGGAAGAATTATACAAACAGCTGTCGGACGAGAGGCCGAGATCGTTCAACCAGAGAAACTGTGTTGAGCGGGCGAGAAAATCTGGCCGTAAATTACAACAGAAGATCTCTCGATATATAGGCCGCACTACAGATATGCTGAACCCTCTGAACGATATTCCGACCTCTCTAGGAGTTAAAAGGCGGCCCGCCCGGTCATGGCAGTACAGGTCCTCGCACAATAACTGCTTCGTTTGCAGTACGACCCCAGAATCTGACCGAGGGACTTGACAACGGGGACGACGACGAAGGACTACAGCAGTTTGAACAGACGACTATCGATCGCCAGAACGGCAGAAGTACGATATGGACCCGCTGCTCGGCCTCAGACGACGAGCACGAATTGCACGCGGGCAAGTGGCCACCAGCAACATGCGACATGCTTGTGCAACGTGACGTGCTGGAGACTGGGCCAGGCCCATCTCATGTCGCGTCACGAAGAATCGAGCGACGCCGCAGATCGTTCATGGGATCCTCCGACCGACCGTATACTACAGCTTTGTGACAGCCTCGACGAGACAAGCACGAGACCGGCGGCCGAGAACGGAAAGTTACCTCCTTCAGTGCTGCCGACAGATCCTCTGTTGTCAATATCAGGCGCTTGTCCTGCACCAAATTACCCGAGTTGTTTGTTAGACAACTGCAGATTCCGAGTCCTCGGAGGTGAAGCTGAGACAAGGTGGACTGGGTGCACCTCAGGAACACTGGCGTCCTCGTTTCGCTCGGATATAAGGGCAACATAACACATTGGCATTGACTTCGGCAATAAATACTGTAGTCCATAACAATGATAGCTCTTCACAGCAACAATTGACAGGGAAACCATGACGAGAGCCAGGTTCCTAATTCTGGTTGACTCACCTTGCCCTGATGACCGCGTGATTTATCACCTGCCTTGACATTCGCCTGCCTAATCTTGCAAAACCTGGAGCGATGTTTCAAACATCTTGTCAGTACTGTAGTGAATGAAAAGCACAGGATTTCAGGTACAAGAGGAAGCAATCATGTGGATGCCTAAACATGGCAGAAAGACCTGGTTCATATTCCAGATGACAGGAACACAAAAAAACATTATATATCCTGCCACCCGCTGGGTCTAACCGACGCCTTCCTAACACTTTCAATTCTGACACGAGAGGAAAATATGGTAATGGACACTCAATATTCTTGGTCATTATGACCATCTAAGTCCTGACAGAGCAGATCGAGAACAAGAAATAAAATTACACTGCATGAACCTGCATGCTAGAAACCTGACCACGAACACAATACATGTCTAGAGATCTCGATCGTTGACGACTGTTTCCTTAACACGGGAGGAGTAATCGAAAGGAGGAAGAGTGAAATGAAGGAAAATACGTGCTGTCTAGGTTCTTGCCGTCAATCAACATACGACCTTACAATCCAAGGAAGCGTATTGACAAAAAAAAACTTACTGAAGAGCATCGCTAGCAATCTCGCTAATAAACTTCTGAGCAGCGACAGAGACAAGCCGTGTCCTGGAATTCAGCCGATTGAGCCCATTAACAGTCTTCATGAGTAGTCTTCAAGACCATTCCAACATTCCTGAAAACCTCTGATACAACTGTATAGAGCTATGTTCGTATCAAAGTGCTTTCTCTTCTCAAGAAAGACAGGACCAGACAGCCAAAAACTGAAACACTGTAATCTCTGAGTCCACATGAAAAAATTGCTTTGCCCACATGCGATATCAAGTTCAAAACTGTATTCATACTAGAACAACTCTTTCTGCAGACTAATCAAAGGAACAGACAGCCAAATTTTCAACAACTGCAGCCAGTAATTTGAGGAAGAAAGGTAGCAAAATAGTTCGTCTATCGACCGTAGAGAGCCCTTCGTAAATTCCCACGGCAATCTGTCAGACAACGTATGGTGGAGACATGGGACTTACACTCTGATATCAGGACACTGAAAACCACTTCGGCTGAGGTAGTGCTCGGCAAGCTCGTCAGGTATCTGACAAACCACATGTCATAGAATGTCCAAGAGAACTGCTCTGGAAAAATAAACATACAACACTCGGAGTCTAAGCACCCTGCAAACTGAAAGCTCCCCAGCCTTCCCGATCGTAGCAGCTGCAAAACTAAAAGCAAAAACTTGTGTATGTTTGCGGCTGATTAACGATGCAAGAAGTATTGGAGGAGACCTAAAGAAAGATCTCCTGACCACTCTTACCAAGAAACTCTCCAGAAGCATAAGCTGGTTCAAATGCACATAAAATCGAGGATTTCATTCGTTCGTACAGTGACTAATAAAATCAACGACAACAACAACAGAATTGCTGCAGGCCGCAAGCTCTTCAGACGGCTTAGCTCATAGAAGAAACTCTGCCTGTAATTGACATCTATACGCGTACGAATGCATCATCAAAAGGAATTCATCGCCACACGAGACATATCGACTGGACTTGAGCAATTTGTAAATGGACAGACAAGCCTAAAGAGGTAAGACAGATGAGACCGACATTCAAACCACTCGCGCCTGCCGTCTTCAATCAAGCAGCCAGGGACGGGTAAACAGAATGAAAGAAAAGGCAATTGAGCACCAAAACATGCACAAGGCACATCTCCATGAAGCGAATGCCGAGAGTATTACAGTGGGAGTGTAATCCAGAAGAGAGGATAAAAAGTCGAGTAACACCGCATCACTGTCCGCTTGCTGCCCTCCGCCTTCCGCCATCGCTAGAGTTTTCCGTTCCCTCCTCCCTCCCGTTCGCCGCTGCTTTCACTCCCTTTCTGTCGTTCCCCTTCTCTCTGCTCCTCCCGTCCCGTCCCCCCATGTGAGGCTCCTGTCAGAGCCAGCTACTCCCGACGGGACTCCCCGTCCGTCTCCTCTCCAGCTCCGGGATCCCACCCGTTACGCCTGCTTTGCCAGCCGGTGAGCAACAGCGTCGGAATCCCCAGCCTCTCTTCACGACATTGGCTCCCGTCCAAGCGTTGCGCGGTGGTGGCCTCGAGCCGGTCGTCGCCGGTGGTGCACTCGGAATTATTTAGGAGTTCCTCGTCCCGTGGCCCTCCCGCCGGCGCACCACGTCATCGTGGCGCTGCTGCCGGTGCCTCTCTTATTGTTTCTCTTCGTTCCACTAACTGTTGCCACTTAAGTTGGCAGCCGTCGGTGACTTAACGTCATGCTTACGCGCTCCCAGCCCCAAAGCTAACTTTGTCGACAGAAAGCGAGATTAGTGTCGGATCGATCTCTCGTGCTCCTCGACTTCCTGCGCGATGCAACTCTCTTGTGGAATTTTCAAAGCAGCGGATGTTGTATACAACATCCTCTGTATAGGATCGAGTCCGTGGCATTCAGTAGCTGACTAGAAACGCTGAGCCCAAGCAAACCCACCCACGTGAGGGAAGATTCATACTAATGGATTTCGTCCGAGCGTCTGATGTGCAGGGGTGTTTTGTCGGAAGCTTGATTGGGTCTCTCAAGTGCAATGGATCTACAACTGTAACATCTTCGGCCTTCAACTTGGGTAGGTAGACTACATGCTCCGCGTTATGTTGCCCACTGGAGTTTGAAGATGTCTAGTCATGCTCTTAGGATCGTTCTCGCATGCAACGCAGAACGAACAATTCTCGCCGTCCCTTAGCGAGAGAAAAATGCTGACGATCCAGTATCAGGCGAATGTTTCAATTCCGACTCGTGTTGGAAGAACGTTGACTCACTTAGATGAGCTACATCTGGTTTACTGCACATTTATTACATATTCCGTATTATTTTGTTTGCAAGTTTCGAAGAGTTAGTTTCACCGGCAAATAAAACTGTGCTATGTGAATGAATGATGGGGTTGGGGGACAAAGTAAAATACAGAGTATGACCAGTAAAACTTTCAAATAATAACAATAAGTCACTAATGACAATACAGAGAGTTCTAAATACACTTAAGAGATATTATCATAATCACAATAAAAATATTTTTCACACAAGAAAAACATCGTGGGGAAAAAAATTATCGTGGATTTTGTAAATTTTTCAATTTATATGTACTATAATAAAATTCTTAGCTACAAATCCTATTGTCTATCTTTTCAACTATACAACTTGTTGGTGGATTAACAAATGACAAATTCTTCATAAGTTGAAGAGAGATAAAGTTGATAAATTCAATGATAATCTAATTTGATTGCTATCACAAAGTTAAAATTTTGACATTATCATGAATGTATCCAAGATTTTAGACATACAAACAATAAATTAACAATTGTCTATATGATGATGAGGTTGCAAATTTGTTGTACTTGTGCAGCACTCGCATATAAGACTTTGTAAATTGTCAAGTTTTGACTTGATTATCATTGATGAAGACTAACACATTATTGAAATCTTGATTTTTGTCAACACATTATTGAATATTACTGAAAACAGAGCTCTCTTCGCAATAAATGGCCAGGTAATTTTTTCATTTGAAACGTCAACTTCAAGGATCAATGTGATTTTTTTTGCTTCATTTGATATCACGAACATCCAAATTGAGTGAACAATATGATCTTGATGATATAAAACCAATGTTGTAAAATCAATGAATCAATGATGATAATGTACTCAAGTGATACATCGCTCAAAATTGCACAAAATTTATGAAAAATACATTTCTTCACTTGCATGTGATTGAGTATGTTATGGTTCTTCACCTTTGCTAGATGTTAAGATGGGTTTCAAATACTTTTCAAGCCATCCATTCAAGGCAACAAAAATCTGAAAAAAAAATTTACATGATGATATCAAATATTTTGCAATGTAATGCAAAATCTTGTCTATAAAAACAAAGCCTTGTTCTTTAACACCTAGTCAATCACGTTTAGCATATCATTAATTAATTTAAAGCATATCTCAAACTATTCACACATACCTTATACTTTGATATATTTTTTACCTCAATTTTCACCTTTAGCCACTATGCTTCAATATTGTTAAAGATATACGTTAATGTAAACTTTCAAGCTTCCAGCTAGCAAAGTTTTAAGCACTATACATTCTTTTTTTCATATCATCTTCATGTGCAAATTAGTCTAAATTTGCACATGCTAAATTAGCTTTATAGCTTTAGCTTTTCATTCCAGTGCTTTATATATCTCCATTTTCAATCATTACTTATCTCCTTATATTTCCAATATTTTATGAAATAAATCATTGAAATGAAAATATTATAAGCACGTGTTTTATTAGTTTTTGAGAGAATGGGAAAGATAACCTTGATTCAAATACACAGGTTTTAAGAAAAAAATTATAAATATATATTTTATTATTCAATTATCAAAATAATATTTTAAAACTTTATTTCAAAAATATTATTGAAATGAAAAATGACTAAATTTATTTAATTTTTAATAAACTTAAAATCTTATTAAATATTTACAATGTACATTAAATACATATCAAAACCACTTCATGTGTTTTGTAGTTATGAATTTTTGAACTTTAATTTTTATATATTTGTATTTATCATGCTTCTTTATTTAAATTGATTCAACTTAATGTTTAACTTTCTTCAAAAATAAATTTATAATTTTTTCTCCAACATATGTCATAATCGATCATAGTATAATTATGATTGATTATGACAATATTTATCAATCATGAAATAAATGTTATGTTTTTTATAAGATTGAGAGATTTAATCTTATGGACATACAATAGAAAAATTTGTAAGATTAGTTATGAGTTCATTGTTTATAAATTCTTGATAATTGATAATTGATAATTTTTAAATAATGAGCACGTAATGATTTTATGGTTGTAATTTACTTCATGCCATCAATATAATGTAGACATCCAATAAATTCTAGTTTCATTGTAGATCAGAGACATCTCGAACATATGATTTAAATGCAGCAGCACCAAGCTTCTCTTACAAACGTAGGGCAAAAGAAGTGATGAATCACTTGCTACAATTGAAAAAGAGTTGGTCTAGAGATATAACTCATGGCTTTGTTGTATATTTTCTTTAGTTGTTTATTTGAATCCTTGCTTTTTTTGCTATCCTCTTTCTTCTCTTAGTTTTTGGAGCCAAATGTGCGTAGAAGTTAATATCTAAACGCTACATCATGCTCAGCAGTGATGAGTGAGTTTGAAGCACCGTTGATATTATCCTTGATGTGATGAAATATGATTATAGAATACTTTCAATAACAAAGTGAAAGTTGAAAGCAAATATCATCAAACGCTTCATCATGTAACAATTATTAAGAATAAAGAGAAAATTGATATAACAATTCAAATGAATATGAAATATGAAACTTGCTATAAGTTCATTTCACGTTGCTATTGATTTTATTTATGGCCAATCTCCGATTTAAAGCAATCTGATACTTAAATACAACAGCTTTTTGATGAGACTTTTGTAAAGCGTTGAATCCAGAGGAGTAGTTTAAATACAACAGCTTTTTGACAAGACATTTGTAGAGCGTTGAATCCAGAGGAGTAGTTTAAATACAACATCTTTTTGACGAGATGTTTGTAGAGCGTTGAGTCGAGAAGAGTAGTTTCAATGTTGCGTCAAAGCTAAATATGTTCATTTAGCAAAATAAAACTTAGTGTACACTTCAAAAAGAAAAACTCATCCAAAATGAACGAAGTCTATGACTTCTAGTGCAGTAGCAAACTTGGAGTATGCTGAGTAAAATTAACGCCAAGATACTTGATGATAAGACCAATGTTAGTCATAGCAAAATCCGCCATCAGTGATATGGCTAGCTCTTCTAAATTGCAAGTATTGTTGGTTGTAAAAAGCATGTCATTACCATATAAGATTAGAAGAATAATCTCATCAGCTTGCTATTGTATGTATAAATTTGAGTCAAAATGACAAATTTTTTTTTCCTTATAATGCTTCATGAATTCAAAGGTATCATAGAAGCGGCTTTAACAGAGTACATATAGTTTGCTTTTGAGACAACACATTTCTCATTCTCGTACAAAAAATAACAAACCTTAGAGATTGCTGCAAATTTCTTCTTGAAGGATTCTGTTGAAGATGTAAGTTTAAACATCAAGATGACGTATAAGTTAGTTATGATGAGCAGCAAGCACAAAGATGATGCGGATGATCTCCCGTTTCACCATAAGTATAAATGTTTCTTTGTAATCAATGTCTTGTTGCTGTTGAAAATTGCGAGCAGCTAAGCGGATCTTGTATCGACGTGGTTGGCCAAGAAAGCCAACATTGATTATGTGCAATATGCATATTTAGATTCCATCAATAGTTAGCATCATGAAATTTGTCGTGGAATGCAAGTTGTATCCTTCATATGGTAGAAGGTTAGTAATGACATCTGCAAAAATTGCCGCAACGTAAGTATGCAAGTGGCAAATAGTTTGTCGTAATCGGTTTGATCAACGTGATAACACTTTGAAACTATTCAAAGGAAAAGATTTATCTTGTGATAAGAGCGGCGTGATAATTGGTGAAGATCCATTTGCTTTGCCACAATCATGATGTTTCAAGAAAGCTAAAGATGAAGATTGTGAATTAATGGACTCACGGCAATTAAGATTTTTGTATGTAACAAATGGCTTGGATCTACGTTTAATCTGCAAGTTGTGCCAAATTTGAGATAAGTTGTATGTGATGGCACTCAAGTTCTTTAGACTAGGACAACTAGAATTATAAATGTGGCGATTGGAACGAGTTGGAATGTGAAAAGTTGCTGGATCTTCTTGTAAACAAATTTGTTGATTTTTGAGTTGGAAGTTGGAACATTAATGAAGTTCTTGTTTGACCAATAGCCTCTGCTTCATGAATAAGGCAGGGAAATATGGACGTTGATGTAAACGCCATTGGATTAGAGATATATGCAACTGATAAATCATCATCAATGAGTTCAGTTGATGATGAATCTAATTAAAGTTTTTTAAGAATCTTAACATCTTCAAAGTATCACGGTGTCAACATCAATAGACTTTGGCGCAAGTATCACAACTCAAAAGCATGCAGTTAGTAGGGTGTGAACCCAACTTATCTTGTTTGGAAACATGTTGATGTACAAAGACTATGCTACTAAAGACGTGTAAATATGATATATAAGGTTTTTTTTTTACCATGACAAGCTCGATAAGCGTGACATCAAGAGTCTCCTTTAAGTTTCACATGTTAAGTATTTCACATGCTGCTCAAATTGCCTAGTTCAAAGATGATTGAGCAAGTCATTGTCGATCAACAAGCATCTTGTGATCTTAAAGAACCATCAATTGTGTCTTTTTGCAATATTGTTCTATAGTCTCATAGGAGGTAATGCAAAATGTATCACAAATGTTTAAGTGTAGTAAATCAAGTGAAACAGTTGCATAAGTGATAGCAAGCTTAGGAATTGGACTATGAATAAGCTTTTTGCAATAGTAGTTGATGCATGTTTTTTAGAAATAGTAAATATTGATAGTATTAAAACATTTAGAGTTCGTCATCCGTCATAATCCATCATTGTTGAAATGATCCAATTGGAGATGATGAATATCTGAAGCACTTGGCTTATTGATCATGATGGTTTTTACTTCAACATGCGTAATGATGATGCATTGTAGTTTGTAAGCCTTGACAATACTCTTAAGAATTACATGCATCAAACTCATACGTGAATCTGTTCTTGATGAAGAAGACTTAAGTAAGGAGTTAAAGGTTATTTTTTTCATCAGCGATATATCATATAGAAAAAAAGAAAAAAAAAGATTTTTTGGAAAAATTTTCTTTGTAAATGATGAAAGTTTATAATACATGTGGAACAAAAATTGGGAAAAGTAACGCCAAAGCACTTTTGATGTTGGACGAGGGTGAACATTGTCCAAATTTTCTAATGTGGTGTGTGGCATCTAAGTCAAGATGTCAATCAGAAATTGCTAACAAAGTTTTTTCCACACTATTTATCATCATCGGCAAGAACAGAGATAATTGATGTTGATTGTGATGTCGATGTGAAGAGTGTATATAGAAGTTAATAGTGTAGGCTTCTACATCATTTAGATCATAGATTTAAAATTGTTTCTTTCGTAGCATTTAATTTTTCATTGTTGTCTTCAACGAAATGAACTTTACCACGTGGACGTTGTTGTCTTTGCTTGTTATCAAAACAATGCATCATATTGCGCATATGATCAATGAGTATCTTGATATGGCATTTTTTGGTCAAAATATTATTCACACATGCAAAATTCACACAAAATGTTTGCTTGATTATATGAAGTTCCACTAGGTCGGAACTGCGGTTGATATGTTAATGAATCACCTGCAAATGGACCACTAAGACTAAAACATAGAACCATGAGATGAATAGGATTGTGACTGGTTCTGTCCAGAAATTGAAGCACGACGTCAACCGGTATTGTTACAACTACATAATAATAATAACAACAACAATAACTTATAAGTTACAATAATGCCAACATTGATTCGAGAAGTGATCTTGATACACACTCTCTCCATCTCATTGGATTACAAGCGCCTCTCATGCCTTCTCTTCACTAATTAAATCAATCATTATTTCTTCACTTAGCAAAATAGATTCCATTTCCTCAGATAAAAAAAGTACGGATTTTTTCATTAGCTTGAGGCGAACTATCGCATAATCTTTTTACATCTTTTAAGTGCATAGTATATTATGTTCTCATCTGTCAATACAACATTGATCTCTTATAATAAGTCCGCTATGTTTGTAAACTCAATTAGATGAACATTCATGGTATTAGCTTCAATTTACTCAAAGTAAAGATTTTAACTATAATATAAGCTTTGCAAGAACCGCTATGTTTTTAACCTCAGTAGGATGGATATCCATTATAATAGTGTTAGTTTTCTCAAAACTAGAAAACTTGTGCATAGAAGCACTATGTGACTCATACCGACGCTTCGAGTAGAACTTACATGCACAAGACTCATTGTATTCTTTCAGTATATTCATTTTTAAAATTCTTATCATTATTTATGATAATGCTCAAACTTCTTGAATGAGCTATCATTTCTTGTTGATTAATAAGAATTAAGTATGATGTAACACAATAGTAAACTAGTACACAACTAGAGACTGCATGCTAGATTTGAAAGGATCATATACTGTAATTAGATGTTACTTTGAAATTATACGTCTTTGGGATGATAAAATCATGGTTTGATAAAGTTGTTGTGGTCTCATCATTTCTTGTGGCGAATATAAGAAAAGTGCTAGGAGGCACAATTGAAGGGTCAAGATCATCACATGTTGTGCCAGATGTACTGAACACTTCATTGTTCGGGGCAAAACTAATGTCCATCCATAACATTGTGAGAGATAAAAGTAGATATTGAACAAAAAGTTATCAGATTGGTTAACAATCACTGTTGCAGATAGAATATGCGTGCTCATGTTTTTTATCAGAAACAATGTGACTAAGGAGAAAAAAATACAATCCAAGGTGAAGCCATCTGATACCATGATGAAATGTAGAACGACACAACAATCATTGTGCAAAAGACAAAAAAAACTTGGATCAAATAACTTGTAGCACAAAAAATATAAATAGAGCAAGTATTATAATTGAAGCTATTAGTAAGAAGCACACATTGAAACTACTTAGTTATCTAACAATGTTTTGCAATATTGCAATTGGATGAAAGATACCTAATACTCATCAACATATGGATGATGTGCAACACCAAGGCCGCTGTCGTGACACCTAAAGCATAAAATGTGACTAATATAAAGACATATGCCAAAGGAATAGTCCTGCTTTTTTATTGGCCATATCATACAAGCGAAGAAAAGCAATCTTTGAGATTATTCAAGAACTTGCTCTTCAAGCTTGTGTAGCATGAGAGTTCAAGAGTTTAGAAAAATATAAAGAAAAATGCATTGATTTTATTGAGGCTCGGATAAATAATTTTGAGAATACTGAGCATGAAAATCTCCGTCTGCCTGTGATATGTGATCAGTCACTTCCCCGCCCACGCCTGCTCTTAGAGTGTTATGAGCATTTTTTTTGAGATTCACATCTCAAAAATCTACACAACTAACACCAAACGCTATAAATCATCGCTCCATCAAAAATATTGGTTTTGAAATCATTCATAAAATAATCTTACAGAGCATGATGCAGAGTGTGATAGCGTAGCTTTTAGGTAAGCTCCTCGCTTTTGGCACCCGCGAGCTATTCCAAGAATATTGCTCATACGAGTCGGAGCTCCGAGAAAAGAAGAGCTACATAGACAGATAGACGATTAGATAGAGAAGAGGCGAGATACCAAATTAATGTCGGCTCAGTCTCTATTTCAAATCTTCTCAAACTTTAGAAACTGAGTTAGCACTTTGCCCAAACAGGTTGCGTAACCGCGAGCCATACCGGTGTTCATATGAAACGTTCCTGGAGAGATTTGCTTGATGGGACCCCTGCGGAAAGTAATTTGCTTGATGGGACCCTTAAGGTTTCATTTTACCCGATGGGACCCCATGAACAATGCACCGTCACCCATGTTCTAATAACAACTAGAGAGAGTGCAACGAGTCCACCGCACCCGCAGACAGAGTGGACTTCGCACTCCATCACACTCACTTGTTTTTATGTTGTCATTCTGTATCCGGCCACTCTCCAAGGAGACGAGCAAAGAAATGTTCATCCGGAGTTTATTTGTTCGCCACAAATGGGTGATCGCGAGACTTGAGCTCGAACCACGCAGGGTTACGGAAGGAGTGTGCAGGTGGGAGGCAACAGAGAAATCCGTGAATCTTTACGATCGGAAGAATTGAAGCACAACAAATTGCACTTCGAGCAAAATCGATCTTTGTCCCCGTGATAATCCACCAGAAATTATAATCAGGGATTGATCTCTGATTGTAATTCTCGCATTGTAACTAGTAGTAATCGTAGTTACAAGAACTATGTCCGATGGCACACTGTCGTTGGGGTCCCATCGGGTAAAACTAAACCTGAGGGGTCCCATCAAGCAAATTACTTTCCGCAGGGGTCCCATCAAGCAAATCTCTCAACGTTCCTGCCATCTGCAAAAAAGTCATGCGGTCAAGGTGGTTTCAGTGAAAAGTCTAGTTTGCTGATTGGTATAAAGTTTTGAACCCAATAGTTATGTATACATTGGAATGATCTATAATGTTTTGAAATAGAAAAATTTATTTTTGCAAGGATTAAATTTTTTTCTTATGAGATTTTCATAACCGTGAAAGAACTAATGTTATTTTGATCATATTGAAAATTAATTCAAAATTATCATCACTTGAGTTGCAAAGAGTCTGTTCATATATATCCTTATGATTGGAAATTTATAATTAATTTTTTTCCTTTAGATTTCTAAAGCATACAATAAATTAATTAATTATAATAAATACATAATATTAGATATGAAAATGTACATGATAAAATTTTCACAGGATTAAGATTAATATTACAATTTCGAAAACAAATTTTCTTCTGTGTTTCATGGTTTAGATAAACATAGCGGGTTCAACAGACATAAAATAATAGTAGAATTAGATTTCTTCATATGTTATAGTTGATATATAGAAGATACCATCAAGCTGTACATGATAGCCTGGGTTAGGTTGCAAGATAGAGCTAGTCCCCGAAATCAATATAGTATGTATTATTGAATAAAGTATATGGGGGATCCTTACTGTTATTTGTAACCATGCGATATGTCACGAATAAAATAGTAAATCTCTTTTCGTCATTTCAAATTTTCACACATATAGACACGTCATCGGAGATCAGCTCGCTTTATTGTCCTCCACGTCAGCACGATGCTGTTTTGGATTATACGCCACCCCGTGCGATGGTCATGTCAAGTTCGAACGCCTATAAACACCAAATTTATTTGAGAACCTTGGCCACGAATTGCGAGCTGGCATTTAGAGGAATGTGGAGAGAGGAGGTCAGTGAAAGAACAACAGAAGCCGAGATGTGGACAGAGGCACGGAGCAGTTAGCGGTATCCGGCCGTCCGGCCGGCTGTGCGTCCGTCTCCATCAGTGCCCTAAGGCCTTGCGGGAGTAGCGTCGTTTTGTGCAGTCGATTTCCGCAGAAACCCGTGTACTCGTCCAACTTGGGCTGCGTCGAGAGGACGACAGAGCGCGCTGCAATTCGTGCTTTGAGCTCACTCAAACCTTCTGGAACGTCGTCGGGGTTTTTCGACGGTTTCGCAGCGCTGTGCTCCTGAGCGCGAGCTTTGTCGATACGACCTGGAATGGTAGCGGCCGACGAGTGCTTGGTTAACTGAGGCGGAATTTCGGGTTTTGGAGGTACCAGCTTTTTTTTCGAATGCTGCGCGGGAAGTCGTGATGTCTGTGGAGTTCTTTAGTTATGATGTTGAGTGGGTTGATGCGAGGAGTCTTTGAGTTGTATCTGCGAGTCTGTATTGTGCTGTCAGCTGTAATCAGCTTGGTTTTCTTCGGGGTGAATAAACAAATAACTCCTCCTCTTGGTTTTCACAAGGCGGCATGGCGCTACACATAGCTATCAATTAGTTTAGCGCACAGGTTCGAATGAGTTCTTTCCTTCATCTTTAGCCGAAAGCCGATTGTTCTTAATAATTCAAGTTCCTTTACCATCTTCAAAATTTCGTGTTTATTGTTATCTTTACCTGCGACAATCATCGGCAATGTTGGGAGCTGATGAGCAGTGCTGTACACTTTTGGGCCTCACCAGCTGGAGCGGAAGCTTTTAATATTTTTTCCGAATTCTTTCCTACCAGGGAGTAGACGCAGCGGTCATTCTTTTTTAAAGAAAACGTGCATGGACGAAAGATGTTCTATGGAAATCGATAATCTGACGTATGTTGTTGTGTGGAAGGTCTGTCGGCCGCCTAGAATGGGGAAGTCGAAGGTCTTTAATCCGCGGGTGTTCTTCGATATCACAATTGATGGCGATCCTGCGGGGAGGATGATTATGGAGGTGCAGTGGATGAATTGTTGATCGCTGCGACTTGAAAGCAGAGTTCTTGTTTCTCACAGTTTTTGGTGCAGTCAACAAATCGTGTTTTTTTGTGTCCTGTTTATATACATGTAGGCCTTTCACATACGAGGATACTGATACTATGCACCCACTGATCTTGAGTGGTTTGTGACTTTGCATCTTGACAGCTCTATGCTGATACTGTGCCCAAGACAGCAGAAAATTTCCGCGCCCTTTGTACAGGTACTACTAGACGAAGTGTAGCCTGATAGAACCACTGTCCGTATAGGTATGGCTTTCTAGAGTGGCTAGCAAAAGTTTTGGCAAGAATTACAAGTGCGTTCGTAACCTTTTCTGTTGGATGAGGCCTTAAGGAAGCTGAGATGCATTCTATATCTTGTTTAAGATATTTCATACCAGTCAGCTGGAGGTTAAGCCCTAGATATGTGTGTAGATGCAATTATTTACTTCTGTCTCGCAGGGGAGAAGGGTGTGGGTGCTGTGACAGGAAAAGCCTTGCATTTCAAGGGGAGCATCTTCCATCGTGTCATTCCGGGATTCATGGCTCAAGTAATTTTGAATACGTACCACCAAAGATTTTATTCTTCTTCGTAGGAAAGCTTGAATGAACATCGCATCAATGATATCTATTTTAGCGAGCGTTTTTGTGTTGGCGCATGAAGAATCTTAGCGAATATTTTTCTGCGGTAGTACGTTGAGTTTTATCTATAGAATTCCTCACTTTATTTCCTTAGATCATCGCTGGTTACGTGTTTTGTTGACCTTATAAGATGTTGCCTGAGCTGAGCCTAATTTCATATATATGGTGCTACGTGGGTTGATTGTGATACTCATGTTTGCCTGTTCCGTTTGTCACAGGGAGGTGATTTTTCAAAGAAAAATGGTAACTTTCTTCCCTCCAGCGATATTATTCAATTAGCTGAAAAGTTAAATATATAATTCTGATGGAAATCTCCTAATTGGAGGATGGTTGTTTTCCTGCTTGTATGGTCTCTTTGTTTTCCGTATGTTTTTGTTGTAATTTCACCGTTATTCGAGTTCTTATGGGCTTGAATCTCATCCTTCCATGTTGGAATGGTGGTTTGTTGGAGAGTCAAAGCAAAGCAGGTTGTTTGCAAGATTGAGTCGCTTAGTATGTTCGAGCAGTCCATGCTCTGTTTGACCGTCTACAGTATGACTTGAAGCTGCAGTTACAAGTGTGTCCGTGTACTAACATCAGAGTGTAATATGCGGAAAAGTTCTGAAAGACAAAGAGATTAGCACTTTTTTGAAAACCTGGTATTGTTTATGGCTGATAGTAGCCATTGTGTGGCCATGGATGGAAATTGTGTACTTGAGTTCAAGAGCATGACAAATGAAGAACGTTGTTCCAGGACTGAGCAATGAGGTACACTTGCTATTTTTAGCACACTTGCTTAAGTGGTTCATTTCTATGACCTTGAAATGAGTGAGAAACCTAAGCTAGCCCTATAAATATGGGTAAACCCAGAGGTTCCAGCTGTGGCCTGAGGTCCGACATTGTTGGTGACTTTCCTATTTTTTTAGGAGATCCGTCATTTTGTATGAGTAGTGAGTCAAATATGATGAAGGTCTTTTTTGGTGCTTTGAGTATTTTTTGCTGTATTTTCCATTTCTGAGCTTCATTTTCCACCAAGTGTAAATTCGCCTGACTTATGAATAGAAGTAAATTTGTTTTACATACATGCTTTTATCGCAAGTAATACAACCAGGTTGTCTGTATTGTTGCGTTGTACGTCATACGAGAGACTTAAGAGAAATAACCGTAATTCGCCGTGTGATGGATTTGTCTCCATCACACGAGATAAAATGTTGTTAGGAGCGACGTACTTTACCAGCTCACTGACGACATGACTTTATATATTGACAGGATTGTCCATCCTAACAATAAATCTCTATGAAAACATACATAAGAGAGATATCTTCTCGGTTTTTCAACACGTTTCTGTCAGTTTGAGGCTTAGTCAGGACTTGGTATGCCATCCGTTTATATGTGTGTGAGGATTACCTCTCAAATTACTTCTTGTTCTGATGTGTAGGCACAGGAGGAGAGAGTATCTACGGCGGCAAATTTGCAGGTTACTACAACATCTTTGTTTGCCCGCGGGAATATGCATTGTATAGTTCGAGTTTGTTCTAGTTCATAGTATCTTTGGATCCGATTCAGCAGGATTGAGGTCGGGCTTCTTCGATTCGATGTCGCCGATAAGGATATTCTCCACGTCATAAAGAACGCAGCTGATATTCTCTCTGTTTTATTCAAAGCATGTATGGCGTTTGTTGTGAATTTTCATCAATACTCTTAGCAGTCCTGCTGATGATGCAACTGTTGTGTGGCAGACGAAAATTTCAAACATTCACATGATGGGCCAGGGGTTTTGTCCATGGCCAATGCTGGCCCAAACACGAATGGTTCTCAGTTTTTTATAACCTTTAAATCGACTTCGCACCTCAACGGGTATGATTCTCATTCCACCCTCAACGAAAGGGTTTTTCTCTGTTTGTATGAATAGAATCGTGCTCTGATCATACGATGATCATAAAATTACAATAGTGAGAAAGGCTTTCTGAAACATGTTCTACCCGCTAGAGAAAAAGTTACTGCTACTTTGATCGTCAATCAGGTTGGAAAGCAATCCCTTAAAGGCTTTCGAGCCGGCGAGAACTGTTGTGCTGACAAAAGCCAATCCTTATTGAATACGGGTCCTTAACGAGTTTCCAGTCTTTCTTGATCTCTCACGGAGCAGCAATGAAGGACCCAAAGCTTTCATAATGCCACTACACTTGACTACGTTAGTATGTAATTGAACACGGATTCGCCCTTATTGACCTTCATATTGTTATAATCTTGTGTAGGCCAGCAAGACACCTTCTTTACACCTCGTCATTGCCCAGTTGACATGACTCATGAGCCCATTCTCAGTGACGGGGTGAGGCAAAGCTGTGTTTGTTTTCTTTGCAGGGACCACTTCTTCGTCTAAGTCTTTCTCACAAATTGAGTGATCTTGTTCTGTTTTTGTACGATTCAGATTTGTTGTAGTATCTCACTTATCTCGTCTCGTGCAGGAAGCATGTGGTTTTCGGAAGGGTGGTAGAGGGTTTGGATCTCTTGAAGAAAATCGAGACTCAGCCAACTGGCCAGAGGAACATTCCAGAAGTTCCTATCAAAATTGCCAATTGTGGAGAGATTATGCAAGGGAAAGACACTGGGGTGCCTGCTTCTGACGCGGGTAAGTGTTTGTCAAATACACTCAAGACCCTAACTAGTACTCACTGGGGATGTTCTACCTACATCTCGTCCTCCGATAGGAAGCGAGAGAGAACCATGGTGATCGCCATTCTAAACATTATACTTTTGGGGGATATGTGGAATTGGTAGTTGACTGCGTAATTTACTTGCGTAATTGGGTAGTACGTCAGCTTTCGGGATAGGTAGGAAGGTTGTTCTTGCCCATTATGAACGATTTTGGGGAACTCGCGCAGAACAAAAGAGTTTGTTCATAGCTGGATCGAAAAGCTGAGATACTATGGTTCAATTCAATGTATTTGAGAGAAAACATGGAGAGGTTGGAATGTTTGCATGCATCTCGTGTGTATGGTGCGAGTAAGAATCGAACCTAAGAAATGATGGAATGATTCTCAAGGAGAATGAGTTAGTCCAGTCAAGAAGAGCATATGCAAGTGTGCCTTGTGCAGTCAAGACTGATGCTAGTTAGAGGGGCCTGTTGCATTGTGTTATGCCCTTGATATACCAGGTTTCTTCAGACTTCGTTCAGTGTCATTCAACATGCTTGGTTGATGCACATCAACTGTGGTAAGCATCCCTTAATTTTGCCAGAAGTATACTTGGCCACAGAGGAGTGCTGAAGAGGTCTAAGGTTTTCAATTGAGAATGCTGACAAGTGGGGCTTGATGCTATTCATCTTGAACTTTGCTAAATCTCTGGGTTTTTGATACATATGGCAGAAAAGAAGAAAGTGAAGAAGGTAAAGGGTGGAAGGCATGATACATCTAGTGATGAAGATGAGTATGAAGAAGTGCGAGGCAAGAAGAAGCACCGAAAGGTTTCCAAAGATCGTCGTAAGAAGAAGAGAAGACGCCATTATTCTGATTCTGATTCTGATAGTTCAACAGATTCAGAATCAGACTCAAACTCGTCTTCTGAAAGTGACTCAGAATCCCCATCTTCATCTGACCTCAGTTTTTCAAGTGAAGAGGATCGGAAGAAGAAAAAGAGAAAACCTGTTAAGAAGGAAAAACGCAAATCCGTGAAGCGGAAAAGGGATAAGCGCAAAGAGAAAAGGAGAAGCAGGAAGGATAAAAGGTCGAAGAAGAAGTCCAAATGGTATGTAATTCCTTTGTTCTTGTTCTGCTTGTCAAATTTTTGATCTATTTCTGCTTTCTTTTTAAAGACTCTCTGAGAATGATGGCTGTAAAAATTATGGCGAGAATGGCCTGTTTCGATGCCGTTCTTATGCTAGGATGTGAACCCAGGAGTCTTTTGCCTGCCTTTTATGTTGTGGATAAATATCAGTGAAGAAGTCCACTTAAGGATCCGATCGCCACTCTTGTGGGATCCTGAACCCGTCTTTTGTATCAACGCCTCCTCTCGGCATTCGGCTTGCAGGAGCTCTGAGAGTGAATCTAGCGATTCCGAAGTTGACACCGACAGTTCCACCGAACCGGATAGCGGTACGGAAAGCGACAGTGAGAGTGATGCTAAAGAACCGAGGTCGAAGACGAAAGCTTCTGTTGGTGCTACCAAAGCCAGCAAGAAGGCAGCTTTACCAGGTAACTGGCGCTTGGAATCTGGAAATGTCTGGTGCCCTTTCCAATCTTTGTACCTTGTGTTCCCTTTCACATTCTCCTTCCTCTACGTAAATTGCTGAGAGCCGTTCTAAGACATGTACTGTGGCCCTTTGTGGTGAGCCTCTGCGTGGTGTGTTCCCTGTCTGTGTCGTAACCAATTTTTAGGGTTTAAAGGATATACCGCCAGATAGAGGCTTTGCATACAATGCGACCGCCCGTCCCGGGACTGCGAAAGCTTGTCTTAGAACTTGTTTTCTATTACATGAAACTGGATTGGTTTGTAACCACCCTGTTAACATTTTGTTACATCTCACTTTCAACAACGGTCCTTTTTTTCAAAAAGTTATACGAGTTTACATGTACATTGGTGCAGGAATCATTGGACGAGAGTAAAGTGTCCCAAATTAGCCACCGTATATATTTTCTTTGGTATTCTAACGAAGTGCATGTGAATGTAATACATGCAGGGAAAGCTGCTGCTGCTACACAGCTCCAAGCTGTGCAGAAGGTACAAGGAGGAAAAGTTATCGGAAATCAAGTACAAGAAGAAACTATGGAAGCTGTGATTTCAAACACGCGAGATGTATATCCCAATGCAGGGTCACTGGAAGTTATGAAAAGGAAGGAAGAATTCGAGCTTTCAATGAAGCCCAAGAGCATTCCTTCTCCTATTCGTGGGCGAAGTGACTCGAGGTGCTATGTCATGCTAATGTCATGTCGCCCTCTTTGATTTGTGTGAATCAGATCGTCTACATGAATAGGAGATGTTTTTGGTGATGGACGTTCATTGCATTTAAACTGTTATATAATGTGTATCCTTTTGCTAAAGGCTGTTGTGATTAGAATTTGAGCTGTTCTGCGAATAAAATGGAAAGTGAGGTCTTTTGAGCAATCTTTGATGATTTGGGCATCGTTGTGAACCATATACTGCTGTGCAATCTGTAGCAAGAGAATACCCTAATGATGTGTTTTTTTTTCAGAAGTCGAAGCCGGAGTTTGAGTAGGAGCAGAAGTGCAAGTCCAGTGCGTGGAAGCCCAAGTAAGACGGAAAGTCTGAAGCCAAGCATAAGCCGAACACCCAGCCGAAGCGTCAGCATCAGCCCCATCGCAAGTCCTGTTCGTGAGAAAAGCAAAACGCCTGTGCCACAGGCCCTGCGATCACGAAGTGTCACACCGGCGCGAAGTCCCAGTCCTGCTGATGGAACCCCAAAACGGATCAGGAGAGGTCGCGGTTTCAGTCAACAGTACTCGTATGCCCGTAGATATAGGACACCTTCTCCTGACCGATCACCTCCAAGGTCTTACCGATACGGTGGAAGAGGGCTGGATAGAGACCGTGATAGATATGACCGAGGAAGTAACTACAGGTGAGGTTGCCTTTGTACCCAGCCCGCTTATATTTTCGAAGGTTTGATATGTTTGGTTGCAAGTTTTTACTGGATACATGATTTAGTTAGAAGAGTGAAGATGTGGTAATGTCACACGAGAATTGCTGCCAAATTCACCCACGCGATATATCCAAGATGATCATTCATTCATTTATTTACGTGATCAGATTTGGAGGAGGGTACAGGGGATACCGGGATCGATCCCCACCCAGAAGAAGAAGCCCTCCGAGGGGAAGAACACCACCAAGGTAAGTGCGTTGTGGATTAAATGATTTTTACAATTTAGCAAGTTCATGGTTCAGAAGGTGTGGAGTTGAGCATTACACAATTAGCTGCATGTGTTAAACTGATGGAGTTCGATTACTTATGCTTTGGGATCACGGACCCAAACTTTTTAATGTTATACTCGTCAGTGTATTTGAGATCCGTTCTGTCTTGTAGGCACAGGAAGAGCTATAGTCGCAGTTTAAGCAGAAGCCGCAGTCCAGTAAGAGGTCCAGTAAGGAATCCGCCCTACAGACGAACAAACCGACTCAACGACAGCAAGTCACCAGAACCTGGCAGTCCGATTTCCAGCCCGGAGGCACCAAGGATGAGTGAAACCTTGCGGGCACGTCTTGGACCTCGCGTTGGAGGAGCTCAGGGTAAGGATGCGGATGGCAACGGTGCACCGAAACTGAAAAGAAGTCGCTCATACGACAGACGGAGCTATTCAGGATCAAGGTCTCCCCGCAGATCGCCTTCAGAGAGTCCATCTCCCAGAGGTCGGGGATTGGTCTCTTATGGAAGAATGAAAGAAGATAGATCCCCTAGACAAGCCCAATCTCCGTCAGTCTCACCGAGCAGGTCTTCATCGAGGAGTCCGTCGCCTCCTCCCAGCAAACCAGGTCTCGTTTCTTACGGTGAAGGGAGTCCTGATTCCCGCTCGATGTCTTGAGAGATGAGTTGACCAACAAAACTTGTCAACCACAGCAGCGTGGATGTTAGATGATTCTACCTACCGAGTCGATCTTTATAGAGTAGCACAGAAAGCTAGTTTCACATTGACGGGTAATGTTTGCCCACTCCCTTTTTGATAATCTTTCCGAATTTCTATGATGTGTCCCTATGCTTCTTTATGGCCTATGTAATCTACATTTAGTTTCACACATATTGATGGATCATAATCTTCTAGGATGGGAATGACTCGACACATGATCTGCCCATGTGAATGCTCTTGACCTCATCTCTTGCTACTCCGACAAAGTCTTCGTACGTGACATTCTCATATTCATGCTCTTTATCTCGACACTGGACTTCTTCTATCACTGCTTGAACAATGTTGAACCTTTTGGCATGTTTTCTACTCCATCCACATCTACTGGTGGGCAATAAATCACCTAATTCATCCCAATGCTTAGGTAGGAAGAGTCTACTTCATTTTTGTAATCAATTTCATTCTCGTAGTAATATTAGAAATGAACGTATTCAAATTTTGTGAATCAGTAGAGGCACAAAACTAATTTTGTCAGCATCAATTGCCTTGCTCAATATCTTCAACTGTCGTGAGTCACTCTCCACATGTGCTCAATATGCACGTAATTCTTCGATATTTGGTTCAACGTACAATATATGGGTATAGCTTGAAACAAGTGGAAGTATAAATTTCAAATTGTAAATTATTATCCAAAATATATAGTTCAGAAACAATGCAGTATCTAACAAATCATATCCATATATTATACTTGCATAGCTGTAGTTAGTTACTTTTTACAAGCAAATGAAGTTATTTGTCCAATTGGATTCTTCAAAATATAATATGAACACTCCGAAGAATTTGATAATTCATGATAGCTAGTATGTTTGTTTCAAGCGTTCCTTTAAGTACATGTTAAAGCTAGAATCCACAACTCCAGGACAAGAGTAATAGAAAGATTCACTCTATACTTCTATATATAGGTCCATATTTGGAAACTCTAAACATTCACGATCTCTTTGTCTCACGTCCCAAAATATGTTCATTGGTTTATTCATATATACAATGCATGATAAAAAATACTGCGTCCAAGTAATGTGTAAAAGAAGATTCATTTCCAGCGAAGAGTATGCTATGTTACTTGGGGTTGAAAATTTGTCTATGAAATGATTAAGAATTTTGTTGAAATCGTGAAATTTTAGGGGAAGCTTGAGAAAAGCGATGACTCCAATAATTGAAATCATTGATTTTCATATCCTCAATTTACTAATTACAATATTCAAAATCATCATTCATTCTACTATTATACACATGGACACATTCTATTTATTTCTTAGGTAAAAAAACAAAACTAATTGATTTATAGTTATATAATGCATCGAAGAAAATGAATATCCCGAATTAATCCAAAAGTAGGAATAAATGACCAATTGATCTCCGATGTAGAAGTTGAAATCTATTTTGTTGTTTTTTTAAAACTTCTAAATTTAACTCAAAATTCTAGCTTGAGGTGTTGAAATTTGATATTTTAATAAGATTGATTGATGTAATTTTTTAATTAGTTCTCATTGAGTTTGAATATTTATGATTTAAATTTATACTAGGTACTAAATGATTTATAATATGGTTGAACGCATCTACTTACCTTCTTAATACTTGACTTGATGGGGTCTTCACATTTTGTATGCGAAATTTTATGATTGATTTGATTATCGCTAGCGAGCTAGACTACGATAGCGATCTACATGTTCAAACATGCAATCTTCTTATTATTCTTTCACTGCGGTCTCACCGTGAGAACACGTATTGAACCTCGAAGCATGAGCCTCCTCTTCGGAGTTTTCAGGAGGTCACTCACATCGACGAAGGTCAAAAAACTGTAGTCTTTCATTTCGTATACCATTGGAATGTGTGCTCTTGAACTAACCGCCGTTCATGACAGATAAGTTCGACATGACCGAGCAAAACAACTGTACACAGAATTGCCTCGCTATTAGAGGAGAGTAAACATGCATATGACATACTCGCGCATGCAGGGGAGATATTACACAGAAGAATACGGAAGAGATTCGCAGCGTATCCCAAATAACATGGGTATGGTGCCAGCTCTGCACATGACACGCAATTCGTGCCTATATGACCTCTCGGATTAAGCAAAATGGACTCCAATGACTAACGCTCTCGACGCTCTTGGCCTCAAAGGATGCTATAACATGATCCCTTGAGTGGAAATGTACGCACACGCGCAGACTCCAGGAAACCGTGAGCATCAAGTGAAGCTCGTGAGTATGTATGATATAATGTAGGAAGTAATATTGAAAACTATAGTATATTAATTAATCTTTACTAAAATTAATGGTTAATTATAACTCAGTTTATACTAATTAATCTTCATGCTCAATTCATATACAATATTTAAGAAATGAAGTATGTGATAGATTAGAGAGATATCATTTCAAAATTGAATACATTTGTGCCATTGCATGCGACATCGGTTGGTATCGAAATGGTCAAGTCATGCGTTGAGTCAAGACTCAGTTGTAATGAAACTATAACTATCAAAAAATTCAATCTTGTATATTCCCACTGTAACCAACAGGTTGAATTACAATGAAATTAATTGTGACGGATAAATCGTATAAATTGAAAAATAATTAATTCTATTAAAAAAATCGATTGGTAAACATATGGGTATAGGTTGAAATAGTTGGAAATATATATTTCATGCTATAAATAATTAACAGAAATATCTAGTTCAGAAACAATGTAATATCATACAAATCATAACCCCACATTATATTTGCATAACATTAGTTATGTATTTTTAAAACCAAATGAAACAATTTCGCCAAATTGGAATTTATTTCATTTTATGTTGTAAGAATGGGCACAAGTGAGATTCACGTGTTCCGCTTCGTATTCTGCTCTAGTCTATTTATTTATGAAATTTGGTTCGAATCGGCCTAAAAAGTCTCTTCCGTCCACTTAGCGTGCTAGCAGCGAAGAGTAAAGTGAAACTCCAAATTGAGGGAGACCAATCATTTTGATTTTTGGCGTAACAGAACAAAACTGCTGATCACTGCACAAGTGATCAGTGATCGATCATGAAAACTAGATGCTGGATCGATATTCTTCATCGTCAGAGGACTACGAATCGAGAACACAGATTCCGTCTCACTAGTTCTCCTTCTGTCGGTAAGGGATGTGGAATTGCCTCCACGTCTACTCATGCATTGCCTTCACGTTAAAAAAATTCATCTCCAAGCGACTGTGAGCAAGGGTCAAAGGTCTGAACCGTTTGATTTATCTCGATGAACGAAACCATCTACGAGTACTGCGCTGTACGATGCAACATGTGTTCCAAAGTTACAGCGATTCATAAAGTCCAAGGTCTGTTCAGATCAGTTTCTATGAGCTGTGGTATGCAAATGACATCGATATACAGATCCTACGGGGAGATGTTATCGTCATACCTGGCCAGAGCAAATTGATGGTATGTATGGCTCTTCAAATGAGACAGCTCTAGGCGGAGTCAGTTATGCCTCTCCGCGACACTTCTTGTTTTTGTAGTTTGTCACATGTGTCTCTTATATTTTCACCTCTCAGAGGGACACTCGCAATTTCCTATGAGTTGTTGAATGCTGAACCCGCTCTAATTTCGGCCGAGATCACGCGGTTGACTTGGGTACAAACTCAGGCCTTCGGAACGACAGATTGGAGACACAATTCCCTGCAACTGTACCTCTGTCAGTGACTACTAACGTCTATTTTTGACGCGGATATCCGAGGTTCCTCTACTACATCATCCAAATTGCAGTAAAAGCGGTTTGGATGATGTAGTAGAGGTTCAAAAGCTCATGAAAGACGTCAAAGAACCCGCTTGATAACGTCTAAAAGAACATTAGAATTGCAGAGTATCATCCACTAGATCTACGGTGGCAATGTCTGAGTGCTCCCCTTCCAGTAGGAAGCTAATGAATGAAATGAGATGTGAGTCTTCGGCCTAGGTTCTGAAAATTTGAAGACAAAGTGGTGATGTACATACTACTCCTTTTCAATAAACTGCAGTTTTGTTTCTCAATATAATGTACGACAGCAGTCATAAACCGAGGTATTCCACAGTGGACATGGATTAGTTTCTACAATATGCAAGCATAAGTATTTGTATAAAACCTTTTTACACACAGAATACCAACAAATCTTCAAGTGACTAATAGCTGAGCATCGGTCAGAAATTTGTTTTCAACCTTCCACGCTCGTCTCATCGTTTACTTCACTAAACCAGCTCAGCCTTTACAACCCAATGTCAGATCTGAAGTATCATTTGATCACAGTATTTAGCATCAGTCGCCTGAAGGCAATCGAGAGGCGCATGATGTCACGAAGTATGTATACAAACCTTACAAACCTAAATACACACGTCGCTAATAAATACAAGATATGCGACAAAACCATATCTATATTCTCGCTTTATCCATAGACGCATTATGTATATTGCACTTGAAAACTCGTTCATGGACCAACCTTTATGAAAAGTGCTTCAGTTTCTGGAGAAACTGAACATTCTAATATTCCAATGCTGACATATTTCTCGACTTTGTTGATGCTGACGTACGAAACTAGTGGTTAATAAGTTCCACAAATCTCTGGTCCCAGTTGACAGGGATCATCTACTGCATCATGCTCTTGCTGGCTACCATCGAATGTTGTGAATACGTCGTACAAAACTGTTTCAGAGTTTTTTCCAGAGTCAAAGATCACTGATCGACAAATTCTTGCTTCACATGCAAGTTTTTCCCAGTAAAAGATCTGCAACTAGTGATGTTCAACCTCTCAACCGTGAATCTTGTCTACCTAGGTGACGAAGGGTTTTCCTAGGTGGCAGTGAGAAGAAAATCGCGTTACAGCTCATCGTAAACAATGAAGTTATAACGAATGCAATTAGAAGAGTTGAATAGAAGAATACTGATTGATTTCATGCAGAGACAATATCGGCTTCCAATATGGGAGCTCTCGACATGAAACATTTCATGGCTTCAATTGGGCCAACAAATATCGTGCGCATAAGTCTTCTCTCGTGGACGGAACACAATCATTATGGTAGAATGAAGATTCACAGTCAACACTATAATCGTGTCGTGAAGTGATATAGAACGAATAAAAAAATAATCCTGTTTTGATTTCAGGTTAC